GGCTGCAGCCTCTGCCCCACCCCAGCCCGGCCAGGTCCGGGCGCTCCGACCCGCAGCGCGCTGAGGGGTCCTCAGGGCCCGTCCCGGCGACCCTGCTCAGTGAGGCCCAGGGGACGAAGGAGCTGAGGGGTCCACCCTCGCTGTGCCCCTCCCTATGCCCAGCAGGAGGGGCGCCACTCACCCTCCCGCCAACCCATCCAAACGCCCCCGGGACACAAAAGTCCTGAATCAGCCCAAGCGGCAGGCAGCTCAGCCTTGCGCAGAGCTCTAGAGTCCAGCAAGCCCGAAGCCCACAGCCTCCAAAGCCGGCGCCTCCCCTCTGCGACCGGCCCCCTCTGGACTGTGCACAGTGAGTCTGAGAAGCTCAGGCCCAAGCGAAAAGCCGGGCGGCAAATCCATGCCAACACGGGGATCGCACAGGCAGGAGCAGACAGGACACTGCTCCCCGCCCAGGGCACAGCTCAGGCAAAGACCCAGGGTGTGACCTGTGCAGGGAGCTGTCCTGGGAGCCTGGCTGTCTTCTATTTCTGCTCTCTGTCCAGCCGTGGGCTCCCTCCCCAGAGAGAGCCAAGCTTGTGGAGGGCAGAGTGTCATCAAGGGCCATCTGGAAGGGGGTGTCCAGCATGGGTCCGTCATCCATTCGCCAGACCTGGCGGGACCCGTCTGGGAGCCAGGGCCTTTGGAACTCTGGAAGGATGGGTTACAGGAAGGGGACATGTGAACGGACCCTGTCCCCAGAGCTCGCTCCTCCCACCTCCCTGCAGGCCACAGCACCAGGTCCTTGTCTTAGCCTGGAGCCCTCCTTCTTTGCTTTCTGTTGAAACCCAGCTTGTGCTTTGTGGTCTGCCCCCCTCCCCCAAGACTGCCTGTCAGGACTCAGGACTGGGGGATCTGTCCTCTCTGCTGCAGGGACTTCAGCCTGTCTGTTCTGGGCTGCAGGCCATGTCCCTGAGTTCACCTAACTGCAGATACCCCCTTATTTTTTTGAGACATGGTTTCACTGTGTAGTGCAGACTGATCTTGAACTGACTGCTGTCCTCCTGCCTCAGCCTCCTGAGTGCTGGATTACAGGCGTGTGCCACCACCGCCAGCCAAACACCCAGTCTGCAGGCCCAGTGTTGGCCTGGGGTGCTCCTCGAGTTAGGTGAGACCTGCCCCCAGGGGGGCTGAGGTTGGCCTAAAGCCGTGTGGCAAGGGCCCCCACTGAGGCACAGTGGGCCCAGGGCTGTAGGACGCCTGCTTGGGGGTGGAGGCTGGGGCGGGCGCCAGCCTGGCTCCCAGAGGTGGCTGATCCTGGAGCAGGACCTAGGGACAGGGATGACCTGAAGGCACAGGTGGCATCTCAGGGACTGTGGAGCCCCGGAGAGGGGCTGGCAGGGGCGTGAAGGTGCAGGATGAGGGGACCCCTCTCCGAGGCCTGCGACTGGCTCATTTGCATGCAGGGGCCACCAAGGCGAGAGCCGCGGCTGCCACTGCTGCCGCCGCCGCCACGCGGATTCGAGCGGAAGCTCTGCTCCCGGCGCTCCCTCTGTTCTTGTCTCTCTCAAGGTCAGAGCCCGAGCGGGGACAGGAACAAAGGTGGCGCGTCCCCCGTTCCACCGCCCTGCACCCACCGGCCGCCATGGAGCACTGGCCAGGCAGTGACAGGAGGGAAGGGCTGGCTGCTCTGGGGACCCCAGGGCCTGTCCCTTCCCTGGCAGGTGCTGTCCCAGCCTAGGGATTTACTGGGGTGAAGGGTCAACTGGGGAGGCTTCCCTGGAGTCAAGGGTCAGAGGTCAGGCTCACTGTGGGGCAAGGGTCACGCAGGGTCACAGGACCTAGATCTGGGTCTGGGGCTCTGACGAAGCTGCCCCGTCCACGAGGGTCTGCACCCCTGGGCTGGCAGCAGACCCACTCTCAGGAGGGTCCTCCCTGCCCGAAGCCCTCACTCACCCCTACCGGCCACCCAGCTCCAGGGCCGGACCGCAGGGCCAGGACCAGCTCACACAGCCCCTCGGCCTTCAAAGGGCACAGCACCAAGCAGGAGGCTAAAAATATGCAGGGAGAAATTTCTCATTACAGAGTAAATTGGACCAGATCCACCGCCTGCCTCGGTGGGGGCACCTTCAGGAGTGGTGCGGCTGCAGGGTCAGGCAGCTGGGGCCCTCAGGCCGTCCTCACCTGTGTGACAGGGACAGGCATGAGGGGCACGCAGGGTCTGCACGGAGAGGCCGGGGCACAAAGCCCTGACTTAGAAAGTGAAAGGTGCCCCTTCTCCAGCTGGGAGGATGACACCCTTGTCCCACTGACCTTAGAGGCGTGGGCCTGACCTCAGTGGTGTGGACTCTTAGACACCTGCACTGAGACCAGCACGGGCCCCCAGGCACCATGTCCCTGCTGCTTCGTCGCCCCTGCCTCCCCCTACCCCGCTCCAGGCCAGGCACAGACTGCCTTCCCACAGCAACTGCCGGCGGCCACCGCCCCTGGAGGTGGTGCCGATGCCGCTTGGTGCTGTCCCCAGGGCCGAGCTCTGCTCTGGCTGGGCTGGGGAAGCATCACAGGCCCGGTTTACGGTGCTTCTCAGAGCCACGGTGGCTGCGCTCCTGGGAAGCCACACCTGTCAGGGACAGACACTGGTGAGTGTACCTGGGGCGGGCACCCAGGCCACCCACAAGAAGGGACAGGAGTACGATGCAGGTGGGGCTCAGTCTGCCGGAGACCCCCAACCTCATCGATGGGAAAATGAGGTTCCTTTGGCCCTGGGGCCCCAATCTGGCCTGTAAAGCCACCTCGCCCCTGTCACCATCTCCATGTCCCACACAGGACACTGAGGCTGGGATGGAAGTTATGAACAGGACCCAAACCCAGACCTGAGATCGGAGCTGGAGGGTGGGCACCTTGGGGAACACCGGGGGGAGGGGAGGGGCTGGGGCCCTTGAAGGTGACACCATGTGTGGCCCCTTGTGCTGCCATCCTGCGTCTACATAGCTATGTTGTGTCCTGCAGGCACAGGGCGCTGGTGCACAGTGTGTACACACGTGCGTGCACAGCACACACACACCGAGGCCAGTCTCGCAGCGGTGGTGACAGGCGCAGCGGGGAAGCGCGAGACCCACCCTCCCGGCTCCGGATGGTGGTACAGGTCTCTCCTGACCTCATTACAGTAATTGCCGTGCCTTTTGAAGTTCAGAGACGGATGGCTCAGGGCTGTGGGAAGGGGGCGCAGATCGGAGGTTGGGGGCCGGGGGCAGTATCTTTGCGCCTGTTAAGAGCGGGTCCCTACAGGTCCTTCGTGCACCGATGGGGAGCGGGGCAGATGGGCAGGAGCCAACGGGGCCGGGTCTCCCACCGCAGCCTCTCCGCAGGACCCGCTGACCTGAGTCCCGGGTTGCAGTTTGGCTCCGGGAGTCGCCTGCGAAGGCGGCGCGAGATTGCCACCTGGCGGCCAAGCCTCCGCATTACACAGCAGAGGAGGCTCGGCGAAGTGGCGCTTAGACCTCTGGCTGCAGGGCAGCCCCTCCTCTGCATCTATGAGGCAGAACTACAGAGCGCTGCGTGCGCCAGAGCCAGTGCTGCCCGGGGGCTCACAGGGGAACCACCATGGACCACCGTCCTGGGCTCAGGCTAATGACTACCTCCCTCAATCACACCACAGCCCCGGCTCTTCTGGAAACCCCAACTGGCTGAAGATACAGGGGGCTGAGGCTTGGATTGCTCAGGTCACTCCCAAGCCCCAGGCTGAAGGTGGCAAGGCAGAGAGACCCCCGGACCAGGGCTTTAAGGGATGAACAGAAGTTCGTTCTTGAAACAAATAACAGGCCAGGCCTTGTCCTAGGCAATTGCAGACAGGTTCTCCCTACCTCTGTCTCCCATGTGAGATTCACCTGACCATGTGGATAGCTGGGACAGTGACTGCGGCCCAGCCTGGTCTCAGTAATGACACTCCAGCCTGCCTCTCACCCACCCAGCCAGGTGGGCCCCTGGGGAGTCAAGGTGGGGCTGGCCCTTGGTGCACAACCATGGCTTCCTTTATTGTCAACAGCCCCACAGGAAGGGGCTTCCTGACAGGCCCCGCGGGCCTCGGAGCAGGGCTGCCAGGTCCTCTGGACAGGGAGTGGCACAGCTCAGTCCGTCTGAGGGCCTCTGGATCTGGGGCAGCTGCAGCTGGGCCCCAGTGGCTTTCACACGGCTCCCTCGGCCAGGCGGTGGCGGTGTGCTGAGCGGGGATCCAGGTACGCCGGGGGCTCCGGGAGGCAGCTGGAGGGCTGCCGTCTCGTCCTTCCCCATGGCCCCTAGGAACCTGCCTACCTCACAGCAGCATCTGGAAGGGGAAGGGGACAGGGTGAGAGGAGAGGCCGGCGGGACACCCACCCGCACTGGCACCAAGTGGGAAGGGGGTTGCCAGCCTGGAACCCGCCTCCTGTGCTGTGTCCCCTTCAGCTGGGCTGTGCCCTGTCTCCATGCCTGCCAATCTCTAGCAGTCCAGGGTCCTGAGGGCATCTAGGCAGGTCCTCGCCTCCATCCCACCCTACTTCCGGCCAGCCTCAGGGCCTTCAGCCTGCCGGTCCGCTGCTCCAGATGCTGGTCCCGGTCCTGCTCCCTGTCCCCCAACAGACCTTCTCAACCCACCTCTCCACCCTGGAATCAGGGTGGCCATCAGGGTGAGGTCTACAGCATCTCACTTATTATTTGTATTTTCCAGTACTGAGGATGGAACCTGGGGACTTTGCACTGGGCTATGTTACTAGCCTTTTAAAAAAACTTTGTATTTTGGGTTTTAAGTTGTCCAGTTGGGCCCAAACTCACAGTCCTCCTGCCTCGGCCTCCCAAAGTGCTGGGATGACAGGCATGTACCACCATGCTCAGGCCCTTGGGGAATCTTAAGGAGGATCACAAGCCTTGCCCAAGCAGTAGTGGCCTGAGCACCGAGCTTGGGACCCCTGCCCTGTCCGTGACTCCAGCCACCCAACCCGGCCCTCACTCATGGCCCTGGAGGCCAGCAGGGCTTCCCTACCATCTCAGGATTCTTGACTGGAAGACTGTCTCCTCCTCACTGTCTAGGGAGGCCATGTCGCCGGGGTCCTCAGTGTTGGCCAGGAGCCCGTACCGCCTCCGCTGTGGCTTTTTCAACCTGCACGAGGTCCAGACCCGCCCACTCAGCGGCTGTGGGGGCACCACTGATACCCGGCCCTGCTGCCCTCCACCCCACAGGACTCCCAGCCTCCTGCCTAATCGCGTCTGTGTCCTTGCTGCCCTCCAGCCGCAAGGATTACTGATTATTCTCTTGACAGTAACAGCAATGGACACCTCTCTCGGTGCCAGGATACGTATCGCGCTCCTGCTTTGCTGCTGTAGTCTTTGGGCCGGGCCATCCGGCCAAGTCACTAAATGAGTGGGGCGTCTCCGCGCCGCGGAGGCAAGCAAGGAGGGAAAAAGGGTGACAGGCGATCCATGGTGCGGCCAGCGAGGTACGTGGAAATTCATTAGCCACCGGGGCGGCTGGACTGTAGTGACCAGGAGGGACGTGGTCATCGGTGCGAGGACCCTTCCAAGGCCCGCCAGGAGAAAAGCCAAAGACAAAGGCTAGGCGCGCACAAGAGGCCTGGACCACAGACACCGGCGGCCAAAGGGCCTGGCCGGAAAGAGAGGGCGGGGTCAGCAGGCGCCCCACAGGGGCGCGGAGGACCGAGCTGGGCCCCAAAAGGCGAGGACAGGGATCGCGGACATCGCTCGGGAGGGATGAAACCCTCGGGAAGGTGGCCAGGGCCCGACACTGCTCCATCTGGAGAAGGGGATGCAGCACTCAGAAGCTGCAGTGAGCAAGCAGATGCCACGACCCCAGACCCAGTGGGGGGCCTGGAGGGGTGGGGCGAGCAGAGCGGTCACGTGATCGCCCCACGATCTTGGCGTCACAGCCGCCCCCCCACCTGCCCCCAGCACATGATGCTCAGAGCGCGCGCCGATTGGCTGCTGCGAGGCGTTGGCCGCGTAAACTGACGCACCTGAACGCCCGGATGAGGAAGTAGACAAGGGCCAGGCCAGCGAGACCCGTGAGCACCAAGAAGGAGCGTAGCAGCGGCGAGCCGGTCGCACCCGCTGGCCAAGCGTGCGTGCTGTTGTGTGGCGCTCCCGGCTGGCTCCCGTTAGCCGGCGAGGGCGGCAGCGAAGGCGCTGCTAGCGCTGGGTGCGGCGACGGAGGCGTACTGTTCTCAGCCCCGCACAGCGGCTCGGAGAGCAGCGCGAGCAGCAGCAGCAGCGGCAACAGCACGCGCGGCCCCATGGCCCGGCGGAAGCGGTGGCCGGGCCCCGCCCCCGCACGCAACTGCCAGTCAGACTCGTGGAGGTGGCGCCAGCCAATGCTCAGTAGGGGCGTGACTTTGAGGCCGGAAGTGCCCTTGGCACCGCCCCCGCACGCGGGCTGGGCCGGGAAGCGCGTCTCGAGCGAGCGCAGGCGGCGGCACCCTCTGCACGCCGCAGGTTGCTCACGGCGGCTCTGCCCCAGGACCCTGTCCCACGGACTCGCCCGATCACCCGCGCCCGCCGCCACCCTCCCGGGCCCCAGCGGACAGAGTCGGGGTTAAGGTGGCCACAGACGGCGGAGGTGTCGACCCAACAGCAGACAGCGGGCTCGGTCACACAGGCTTTATTGAGACCCGCGCCCCGCCCGCGCAGGCGCCGCTCCGCTGCCCTCTCCGGCGACCACGCCGCCGTCCCGCGGCTCCTCCGCAGACTCCGGGCCAGCGCTGTGGGTCCTGCAAGGGGGCGGCAGTGAGCGGGGGCGAGGACGGGGCGCCCGCACCCCCAGCCCGGCACTTACCGGGCGGCCGGGCCGCTGTCTCTGGCTCCTTCCCTGCGTTTCCCGCGGAGATGTCACCTCTGCGGTCATCGATCTCGCCCCCTCGGGCCGGGTCTCGTCACCCTGCAAAGCAAAGCCGCGTCACCCTGAGTCCCTTGGGCATGCGCCCCTCCCCGCCCAGGAACCGTTCACAGCTCCTAGCGGTCCAGCCGACCCGGCCGCCCTCGGGACGGGCCTGGCGCGCCGGGACACCGAGGGCTGCGGCCGGCGGCGGGAAAGGCGGGCTCGAGACAGCAAAACCCTGCAGGCCGCGCGTGGTGGTCCCTGTCCTGCAAGCGGATCGCGCCTACCGTGAAGGCTGGGGCCGGGCCGCAGGCAGGAGGGGCCCACGGCCAGGCCTGACTTTAGTGCTAGCCTGATTGACAAAATACGTAAAAATAAAAAAGGAAAACCAAAAAGCAGTCAAAGGAACATTCCCCGGGCAGTTAACAGTAGTTTCAAAGAGCTCTGGACAAGGAGGGATGCGGACACGAGCGGAAGGCGTTACCTCGAGTTACAGGGCCAGCGGCACAGGGGCGCTAGCCAAGGGAGCAGCGTGCATCTCAGAGGTTTCTGTTGGGCGCACAACACGTCTGTCCTCCGAGGCTGCGGCTTCATAGGCTAGCAGAGAACGCTCAGAACTCGTGAAGCACAGCAGAGCTAGCTACCGGCCTGCTCCGGGTCCGCCGGGGCGCGCACCGTCCCTCTCTGCCCTGCTGCTCGGCTAAGGTTCTACGGTCAACGCCAGGTGCCCGGGCGTCCGCTGACCCTGCTACGCTGCCCGCCCCGTCGAGCCCTCCTGCTGCCTGCACCAGAAGCCTCGAGGGGCTCCCCGCGCCCATCCCCTTGCTGCCTCACCTAACCCGAGGGGCAGCCAGCGGCTCTCGGGCCGGCCCCGGCCCCGGCCCTGCACCTGCCTTCCTCCTCCTCTAGCGCTCTGCGGGCTCCGTGCTCCGCGGCCCAGGCTGCCTGGAGAGCCCGCAGCACGGTGTGTTGTGCAACGAAGGGAGATTGTCAGAGCAAGGTTTGTTTCACACGGTCTTTTAATCGGCTTCGTAAAGCCAAAGAAAACTGAGTACAAGAATTCCTTAGCCACTGCGAATACAACATCGATGGAGTATGCGTACGTCTTCTGGTAAAAAAGGACAATATAAATAAATGTCTTCAAAAACCTCAGCGCCTCTGCACGGCTCCCGCGGGCGCGATGCATGGCGGGCACAGGGCGGCCTCTCCGCGGCCGGCCGCTGTCCTACCCGGCTACCCTCAAACGGCACGTGGAGTCCCAAAAAGCCACAGCTTGCTCAGCTTCTGGCAAAGAGCGGATCCAGAGTCCATTCAATCTTAGTGAAAGGAATGGAGGCGCCCAACTTCATGGGTGACCCCACAAAAAAAGAATCAATAAAAGCAACACAACCAAAACCAAAATCCAAAAACCCATACAACAGGGCTGGGGTACAACTCAGTGGCAGAGCAGTGGCCTAACATGCGAGGCCCTCGGTTTGATCCCCAGCACCACAAAAGTAAAAGTAAAAATAAAAAAAGTAAAATAAAATAAAATAATAATAATAAAAAAAAAAATCACACAACCCCCGATAGTTTCTTAAAAAGCTATGGTTCATGGTTTAAAAAAAAAAAAGTAAACTCAGAAGTACTTTTCAAAACGCCTTCAAAAACCATAAAAACAGCGCTTCCTTAAAAAGCAAAGTCTAGTCATGAGGCCATCTCGGGGGTCAGAAGCAGTCAGGCAGGGTTGACAAGATTGGAACAGAAATGACTACAAAAGTGGGAATACAAGGAGGTGTGTTCACTACACATCAACGATTCAGCGCAGCTCCCAAAATCTTTAAATATACAGCCATGGAAGGACGGTCTTGAGCAGGAAGGATTGTTACTCGTTGTGTGTAGCTGAGGACAAGAAGCAGGCAGAGTGTAAAGGCGCTGAAGCACGCGACAGGATGCAGCATCCATGCCCAGCGCAGCCCCGGAAGGCGGGCGGCGCAGGCTCGGAGCCACCTCCCCCCTTGGCGTGGGCGGGCACCTACGCTGCCTGCACAGCCCTGGAGGCCCTGTCCTTCGTCACTGACTTGGCTCTGTTCTGTGGCAGAATGGCTCTGAGAGGACAGACTTGTTTTTTGCGGGCAAGCACAGTAACAAGGTCTGAGCGTCCAGCCTAAGCCGCTCGAGAATGGAGGGCACAAGGGTTTGCTGAGCTCCCACCACAGGCCACACAGTGCAGCACCCTCGGAGCAGCACTTACCATAGCTGTCGTAGCTGTCTCTGTAGGACCCCCCTGAGCTCCGGTCACCGTATCCACCACCCTGACTCCGGCTGCAGAAGGCACAGATGTGGATGCTGAAGGGCACGGGCACCTGCTGACCTAGGCTCCAGTCCCATACCCACTCCCCATGACAGGAACACTGACAGGACTAACTTGAAGTGGATGTTGGAAACTGCCAACAGGCCAAAAACAGGTACACTCTAGAAGGCTGACACAGGAGATCACTGCCAAGGTTGAGGCAGGCCTGGGCTACACAGCGAGTTCAAAAGCAGCCTGAACTACACTGTGAGATGCTCTCTGTCTCAAAACACCAAAAAAGAACTTGAATTTGATGTAGGGACTCACTAAGACCCTTTCTCATGGGCTGGGGATGTGGCTCAGTGGTTGAGCTCTTGCCTTGCATGCACAAGATCCCCAGCACCACCACTAGAAAGAAAAAGACCCTTTCTCAAAATCAGAACTGAAAAACAGCCAGGTGTGGTATCATACACCTGTAATCCCAGCAGTCAGGCAGCCGAGGCAGGAGGATTGCTGTGAGTTCAAGGCCAGCCTGGGCTACACAGTGACTTCAAGGTGAGCCTGAACTGCATAGTGAGACCCTATCTCAAATAGACACACACACACACACACACAAAAAAAAGCCTGGGGATTCCTGGGGCTCTATCCCCAGTATAGGGCAGTATAACAACAACGAAAACCCAAAACCAAAAAGCCCTGCCACCTCAGGGCTGGCTGGGGACTAGGCTCAGCACTTACTTTGCATGGTTGAAGCACAGCTCAATTCTCCCCTAAGCTTCTGCCACCCCAGCTGGGAACCCACACTGGACTCTGTACAGAAGTCCTGAGCCTCTCCCTGGCTCTGGGATCCTCACCTGCTGTAGTAGTCTCTGGAGCCACCATAGCCCCCACTTCGGGAATCAAAGCGACCACCGCCATAGCCACGGTCCCCTCCCCCTGTAGGAGTCAGACAAAATAAATGAGTGCCAGCTCCACTGGCAGCAACCCACCCCACCCCCAAGTGCTCAGACTCACCTCTGGAGAACCCACGGCCCCGGCCTCGGCCCCCTCGGAAGAAGCCCCGGCCTCCAGCAGAGCCACCTCGGTACCCTCGGGATCGGTTGTCAGAAGACTTGCCGGCCTGGTCAACACGGATCTGTCGCCCGTCCACTGACTGGGACCAGATGTTGGCTGGGTCAGCCTCTGCAGCTCCCTGTCCTTGGGAGGTGGGGCTCACCCTGGGCACCCCCACCACAGGATCTCACCTTCCCATTCATAGCCATCATGGCATCCTTGGCATCGTCAATGTTTTCAAAGGTGACAAACCCAAAGCCCCTCGATCGCTGGGTCTCCCTGTCTTTCACCACCACCACTGTGCAGGGAGAAAGGCCTGCAGTTAGCGCCTGGCATCCCCACAGGAAGCCCCACTGGCCAGCAGCCCACCCACCTCACCTTCAGCAATCTGGCCATATTTGGAAAAGACCTGCTCCAGCGACTGCTCGTTGGTGTCAAAACTCAGCCCTCCTACGAAAAGCTTTCCTTCATCTGATGCCATGGTGGCCTGTGGCAAACAAACAGCGCTAGAGCTTTAAATACGTTCGAGAGAGGGCCAGAATTCCTGTCTCACTGCCAGGGGGTTCAAACTAGCAGCAGAACACATGCAGGACTGTCCCATGAATGACTGTCCCACGGTTTTTTTTTTTTGTCTTTCTAAAACAGGGTTTCACTATGCAATTCAGGCTGGCCTTGAGCTCACTTTGTAGTTCAGGCTGGTATCAAACTCACGATTCTCCTGCCTCAGCCTCCTGAGTGCTGGGATTACAGGAGTGCGCCACCTGGCTCAGCTAACTTTCCCCACTTCTATGCCAGTGGTACCAGCCATCTGACGGGACAGCGACACACTATCACTGGTGGTTCAGCCGGCCGGAACCTGTTAAAGAGCTTTGTCTCTCAGGGCTGGGGATTTAGCTCAGCGGCACAGCACTTGCCTGGCAAGCGCGAGGTCATCAGTTCAATCCCAGGTACCGGGGAAAAAAAACAAAACGAAACAAAAAAGAGCTTTGTCTCTCACCATCCCCTCCTCCTATTTTACACAAGTGCTAAACTCTTCCTGAGGATAAAAAACCGAGAAATAATTCTAATGCTCTTTAATATATTCCAAACCTAGCCGGCCGTGGTAGTACATGTCTGCAATCCCAGCACTCGGGAGACTGAGGCAGGAGGATCATTGTGAGTTCAAAACCAGCCTGGGCAACAAAGTGAGCTCAAGGCCAGGCTGAACTGCATAGTGAGACCGTGTCTCAAAAACACTACCCGCCCCCCGCCCCAAAAAAAAAGACAAAAAAAATCCAAATCTACACGTAGGACTTTTTTCTTTTTGCAGTACTGCGAAGTGACCTCAGGGCTTTTGCACTGAGCTACATACTTAGGCCTTTTAAACTTTGAGATAGGGTCTTGCTAAATCACTTAGGCTGGGCTCAAACTCTCAATCCCCAGCCTCCTGAGTGCTGGGATTACAGGTCTGTGCCACCGTAAATCACTAGGGTTTTTTGGGTTTTTTTTTTTGGCTTTTTGAGGCAGGTCTCATTATGTACCTCATGCTGGCTGGAACTCTGAAACAATCCTCCAGCCTCACCCTGGCTCACTAGGGCTTCTTAGTACAAGTGTCCCCTTTCATAATAGTGGGGTGATCTACTAAACCATCAGATGTCCATACAACTCTGGACAAGGCATAGAGGGTGCTTTGTGTGTGTTTGTGTGTAACTGGAGATCCAAATCAGGGATCCTCTACTGGCCTTTAATTTTTTTATTTTTTGAGACAGGGCCTCACTATGTCATCCAGGCTGGCCTCGAACTTGTGGTGATCCCCCTGCCTCAGCCTCCTGAATGCTGGGACTACAGGTGTGCAACACCACACCTGGTTTTTAAGTTTTTATTTTGGCACAAGGTTTTCCTAAACTGTCCAGGAGGTTAAGTTGTAGGTGGGTTTTCAATAGAGTGCTTTCTCCATCACTGTAAAGGGCCCAGAGAGTGCTCTCGAAGAGGGCAACCAGTCCCAGGGTGCTGCTGTCTTACACCACACGCCCACTTTCTAGCAGGGACTAGGGAAGGGTAAGCCCAGAGACCGAGATGCCCAGGGCCTCACTCCGGGAACCTGGCACTGGGAACGTGACTACTCAGGGGGGCGGGCATGCCGACTTGGGGAAAACATTTATTGGCGAGGCCGACCGCGGCCCAATGGTTAAGAAAAACCAGTACACGATTCGGCAGCCGTGATGCGGGATTGTGCCACCTCGGGGTTACACCTGGGGTTCAGAAGGAGACACGCACTAGAAATGAGAGCTAGCGGCTCAGCCCAGCGGGGCAGTCCTTCCCCATGTGCAATCTCGATGGCAAAATGGGAAGCCGAGGCTCAGCGAGCGCGGCGACTGGACGCGAACACCCGGGACCCGCAGCCTGAGAGCCGGCCCTGGAGCCCCGCCCCCCGCGCATGCGCTGAACGAGCGCCCTGCGCCACTCCATCCGGGGACTCGGAGCTCCCGCCATTTCGCCACAGAAGCCTCGAGCTCGCCGCCGCCATTTTGCTGCAGCGCCCGCCAAACCGGCGTCCCGGGCCTGAGTGGGGGGAGGACACTTTCCGGCCGCCGCTCAGCCCGGTCTCCCGCTGCCCCTCGCCCGCCGGACGGGCGGACTCCAACCCTAGGCCCGCCCCGGCACCGCCCCCTCCCAGGGGCGTGCCGCTGCGGCCCCACCTCGCCTGGGCGCCTAAGGCCGCCCGCCGCCCTGGGACCCTCGGAGCCGGCGCCGCCAGGGCCCTCACCGCTGAGTCGGGCAGGTCCCTGACGCAGGCGGGAAGACGGCACGGCACACCGACCAGAGCCTTCTAACGCGCGAGTGAAAGAGGGGCGCCGCGAGCCGTGTCTGATATACACCGCCGCCGGGCCCCGCCCGCTGTGCCCGCCCCCTGCGCTACGAAGGCCAATCGACGGCGCCGGGGAAAGCGGTCGTGCCTCATATTCATGAGCTGGGGGGCCGGGCCTACCTGCGTCACGCCCCTTCTCGTGCACTGGCGTCGGGTGTTCTGATTGGTCTGGATGGTTCGAGTCCGCAGTCTCCCGCCCTCGTGCGCGGGGGCGTGGCTGACCCACTTCCGCGTGCCCGCCCCCTAGCCTGAGGCGGAGAACAAAGGCCCTGGGTAGAGTCTGCTAAGGGGTTTCCGCCCACGATAGGGCTTTGCTTATACCCTGACATATCGACTCCACCCATATCTCCATCCTCGGCTCACAGACACCCCACCTTCATCTGAATCACTACGTCAATCCTGATAGCTTGCCGATATCGATGACATCCCAGGACTCCCAGTACCCAGAAGCTCTTGGATATGCTACTTCGTGCAGTCAACCCCGAGACCCACCTAAACCCCAACACTGAAAGTTCATTTGTAGGCATTTCAACTCCAATATTCTCCACAATCCCAATTCTTTCTTCTGCCTTTTTTTGTTTGTTTGTTTGTTTGTTTGTTTGTTTGGTTTTTTGAGACAGTGTCTCCCTATGCAGTTCAAAATGGCTTTGAGCTCACTTTGTAGCCTAGGCTGGTCTCAAACTCGCAGTGATCCTCCTGTCTCAGCCTCCCGAGTGCTGGGATTACAGGCGTGCGCCACCACGCCCGGCTTGCCTAACATTTTTTTGTTGTTGTTATCCTGCCCAACATTTTTGAGCTCCCCAGCTTCACCTAACCAAGTTTGCCTCCAAACCCCAACCTGCACCCATACTCCCAGCCCAACCCTGACTTCGCTCCCGCTCCTGTAATTGCATCACTGCACCCCAACATTCACCTCGATGGACACTTTTTACTGTTTGTTTGAGACAAGGTCTCACTATATAATGCAGGCTGGCCTTGAGCTCACTTATGTAGTCCAGGCCGGGCTCGAACTCACGGCGATCCTCCCGCCTTCACCTCCGAGTCGTTGGAATTACAGGCGTGCACCACCACGCCAGGTAGGCTGACACCCACCTCGATGTTGGCTTAGTAACTGCACAGGACATCAGCTCAGGCCTCGGGCTCCACACCTGCCATGTGGCCCGGCCATCCGCACGCTCACAGCCTGCTCACCACCCACTTGGAGCCAGCATAGGGCCAGGTCCACCCTGCCCTGTTTCTCCTCTTTGAGGAGGCACCCCCAGGAGGTCTCAAGAGCTCTGCAATTAGGATCCTCCTGCCTCAGGACAAACAGCTTGACAAGGACCCACACCCTTAAAACTGCTCCAGGGAGGAACCCCAAGACCTCTGGGGACCCCTCCTACACCCTCTTGATCTCATGCTGCTCTCCTGGCCCTGGTGGAAGAAGCGAGTATGGACCCTTCCCTGTGCACCCACACCTGAGACCCACACCACAGCTCAGACCCTCCGCAGACCGGTTGGGGGCAACTGGAGAAGAGGCCCCCACTTTGCTGAGAAGTCTCAGCTCCACTGCGGGCCTCAGACTGACTCTTATCCTCAAATGGGTCGAGGTGACCCACCTGTCTGCAGTGACACAGTGGCCAGGACCCCTGAGCAGCTCAAGGGCCCCTTCACCCCCCACGTGGTAGCCGCATGAGTCACGGCCCACCCCCTCTCCACACCGCAGCCCTCTTGTCCGTCAGCGGAAGCCTTCTGCTGCGTCAGCCACTCGTGCAGGGCGGTTATTAAAAGGATCAGAGCGACATCAGCACTCCGCTCCCTCGCCATGCAGGAGGGGCCCAGCCACCCAACCCCGTCATGCCCAGCCTAGACCCCTGCCCTTTCCGGCCTGTCCCCAGGGTGGGAGCGCCTTGTCCCGGGGAAGACCAGGGCTAAGGGGGTGCTCCCTGAGTTCCCAGCTCCCGGATCATTCTGAGACCCCTCCTCTTCTCAGATTCCGAGTCTCTTTTGCTGTTCCTAGTTTTGTAAAGAGCTGTGTTTATTCAGTCGTTCATTCATTCGTTCTGCCAACAACGAGTTATGAACTTTACTATCACCTAGCTGTTCCTGTGTGCCGGGCTCCGCAAGTCCCCACGGCCATCGGGTTCCCAGCGGAGTGTGGATGCCTGGGGGTGCCTGTCCTAGCACACGGCTCACCTGTGTAGTGGTGTCTCACAGTTTGCACCTGTCTCTGCACTTGTGTCCCGAGATTAACTGCGTCTGCGTGTTCCTGTGTCTCGGCCGTGTCACCATGACCCTCTTTTCTCTGCAGCAGGGTGCCTGGGATACATCCCTTTTCTTCACCCCCGCGGCCGCCCCTGCACCACCGGGATTTGGACCGAGTGCGCTGCCCTGCGTGGGCACGAGGGGGCGCCGCGGCCTAGCCGTCATCCAGGCCGCGGACTCCGGACCCACCCCCCGGGGCGGCAGCCAGCTGTGTGGCCGAGCGTGGGAGACCGAGTCCTGCTGCCGCCTCACCCCTCGCCGGCCCGCGCGGCCACCGCTGGCGTCCTCGACCCTCCCCCGCGGCCCTCTGCGCCAGTGTCCGAGGGTAGCAGGGGGTAGGAGGAGGGGCTCAATAACCGAGTGGGGGATCTAGGGGGTGCTATTCCAAGCCAGACGACCGTGGTCCGACCTGCCCGCTGGGGTTTCCCACAGGCCCGCAGGTGTCCGGGTCTGTCTGTCACCTCTGGGTCTCCCTACCCTGTATCTCTTCCTCTCTGCGACCCCACCCCACATCATTCACCCCCTTTTGGTACTGGAGATTAAACCTAGGGCCTTGGCACACCAAACGCTTTCTATTTTATTGTCTTGCGATAGGGTCTCACTAAGTAGCCCAGGCTGGCTTCAAACTTGCGGACGATCCTCCCGCCTCAGGCTTCCAAGTGCCGGAATTACAAGTGTTCACTGTCAAGGCCGGTTTCCGAGCCCTTTTAATCTTAATTTTGAGATGGGGGGGTTCTTGCTGAATTGCTAAATTACCCCGGATGGGGTCCCACTCGCGATCCTCCTGTCTCAGAAGGAGTGCAGGGATGCCGGACGCCACCGAATGCTCTTCATAATCCTCCTGCTTCCCAGTCCCAAGTCTCCCAGAGGGCGTCGGCCTCCGAGTCCCACGGTGGGTGAACCCCCTCCATCCAGTGCTGGGGCGCTGCCCTCCAACCGGCCCTCGCCCGGGACGTTGTCATGGAGATGGAGGCGGGGCCACCTGGTTCCCGTGCTGCCTACTCCACCCTCCCCGCGGGGCCGGGCACGCGGGACGCCAGGTCCTCCCCCGACCCTGGCTAATGATCGGGCGGGAGTAGGTAATGAGCGTCTGGGCCGGGGCCGGGCGTGGCCCGGGATGAAAGGCGCGTGTGTGGGGGGCACCCCGGGGCCGCGTAATTACCGCCCCCTCCTGGCCAGTGCACCTGGCAGCGCCCGGCGGGGGCGCGGAAGTGGGACCGTCCTGGCAGGGACTGCAGCCCGCCCAGCTGGCCCCGATCCGCGCGGCTCAGAGCCAGGGTGGGAGTGCGCACACCGTGTGCGTGTTGCCAGGTGTGCGCACACGTGTGCCCGTGGGCAGGGGACTCGTGGGCATGCACACGGAGAAAGGATTGCTAGGGCCTTTTTTTGTGTGGCGATACTGGGGTCTGAACCTAAGGCCTTTGCACTGAGCTATTCCCCGCGCTTTTTTTTTGTTTGTTTTTGGAGACAGGATCTTGCTAAATTGCTAAGTTGTCCAGGTTAGACTCGAACTCGTGATCCTCCTGCGTCAGACTCCCAGAGTGCTAGGATAAAAAGCACTCACCCTTTCCATTCCTGGTACCAAAAAAAAAAAGCATGCACCGTCACACTCAGCTGGACGCATGCTTGTGTAGACAGAAAATCCGGGCAGTGTGCAGGTGCACGGAAACCTGCGTGTGCGCAAGGACTCACTAGTCTGCACAGGGCACAAGGGGGATTCTGTTTAAGAATGCTTGGGGACTGGTGCTGGGGCCCGAAAGTGCACAGAACTCGGCATGTGGATGTGGGAGCAGCCAGGGACAGGGCTGGGTGCGTGTGACTCGGGTGGGCCGGGACCCACGGAGCATATGTGCCCATGCCTTGTGGCATGAGTCACGTCCCTGGGTGGGCACGCGTGCTGTGTGTCAGAGGCAGCCGGGGCCTCCCAGAATTTCAGGAAGCTGAGGGAGGAGTGCAGACTAGGAAGGGTTAAACTGCCCCTCCCCCCAGGTCCTACCTGCTCCGGATGTCTGCTTGGCTCCCTGGGTCCCTGGTTCAGCTGCCTGCACCCCAGGAAAGGCAGAGCGAGCGGCTGCAGCCCGCTCCTGGGATGGGGTCTGCAGGCAGCGGGGTGGGCCCTCGGGCTGGGGCAGTGCCTGAGCTCCCAGTGAGTCACCCCTCCCCACAAGGCCGAGTCATGTCCCAGGAATGCACTGGCTGCAGTTCCTCAGCTCCTGCCAGGGCCACGCCGGCCCAGCAGCCCAGGGCCAGGCCTTGAGCCACAGGGGGAGGCCCCAGTACAACACACATCCTGTGACGTGTGATGGGACACACACACACATACACACGCACGCGTGCCTGTGTGCAGCCACCTGTGTCTGCAGTGCACCCCTTGGGCGCCCACAAAGTCACACAAGCCCATCCTGCAGAGCCTCCGGTAACCCCACGGGCTGTGCACACCAGACAAACTGGAATGACAGCCAGAGGACACAGGGCTGCCAGGCCAGGCCTGCTGCTAGGCTCAACACCTGCTTGGTCTCTGTGCTCCTGACCCTGCAGGGACCAGGAGAGTGACGCCTTTCACCGAGGCACAGGAGCATGGTGACACAGTGAGGATAAGCATGCAGGGCAGGGACGTGCAGGGACTCGAATGTGTGCACACAGCACACAGGGAACATCTGTGAGATGCCAGAGCCCCTGCCCAGGTGCCTCACCTGTTCGAGGGATGACACACTCACTTTTTGTTTTGTTTTTAAAATACAGGGGCCAAGCAGGGCGTGGTGACTCACACCTGTAATCAATCCCAGCACTGGAGAAGCTGAGGCAGGAGGATACTGCGAATTTGAGGCCAGCCTCAGCTACAAAGTGAGTTCAAGGCCAGCCTGAAGTGCATAGCAAAACCCTATCTTGAAAAGACCAAAAAAAAAAAGATACAGGGGCCCGAGCCCAGGGCCTTCAACTGAGCTACATCCCCAGCTGTATTTACTTTTTTAGAAAGGGTCTCAGGATATCTCTAAATTGCCCAGGCTGGGCTCCAACTTTCCATCCTCCTGCCTCAGCCTCCACAGTGCTGTGCTGACTCGCCTGCACCCCCAGGGCCAGGTACTGGGTCTCTTTCTTGGCGTGCCCATACACAGAGGATCATCATTTATGTTGATTTCTCTACTTTGTATTTTCAACGTCAACTATAGCCCTTCCAGGTGGGGTAAAATAGGGCCTGTCTGTGAACCTCACCCATCTCTTACCTGTTTCCAGCCCAGGCCAGGGGCGGGAACTGGGTTCTAACTGCTGGAGGGTATGCAGATTGACTGCTTTGGACTGCTGGCCTTCTAGCCCAGCTGATCCAAGGGCATTATGGGGGAGGGCACTGCCTTACTTCTGGGGTGTCTGCTTCCCAGTGGTGGTTGTACAGTGTGATATGCAGGGCTGAAATTTCGTCAAGGGGAGGTCTTGGCCCAGTTAAAGTGAAGCTGCCTTTGCTTTTTTTTTTTTTTTTGCCTTTGAGACAGGGTTTTGCTATGTAGTTCAGGCTGGCCTCAACTCAGAGTAATCCTCCTGCCTCAGCCTCCCAGGTGCTGGGATTACAGGCATGTGCCACCACACCCATTTTTGTTGTTGTTTTTTGTGGTGCTGGGGATTGAAACCAGGGCCTTGTGCATGCAAGGCAAGAATACTACCACTAAGCCACATGTCAAGCACCTTTTTTTTAAGTGATAGGGTCTTGCTATGTAGTTCAGGTTAGCTTTGAACTCACTGTGTAATCCAGGCTGCCTTGAATTTACAGAGATCTTCCTGCCTTGGCCTCCCAAGTGCTGTGATCTCAGGTATGGGCCACCACATCCAACTATTTTTCTTTTTCTTTTTTGGGGGGGGTGGGGGTCTCCCTATGCAGTTCAGGCTGGCCTTGAGCTCACTCTGTAGTCCAGGCTAGCCTCAGACTCACAATGATCCTCCTGCCTCAGCCTCCCCAGTGCTGGGATTACAGGTGTGTGCCACCATACCCAGCACTACCTTTCCTTTTGAGGATTATACATTTGATTGGGGTCTGGAAGGAACTAAAGTATGCAGCTGGAACCAGGCATTGGGGGAGGTGCTATAATCCCAGCACTCTGGGAGGCTGGGGCAGGAGGATCTCAAAGGTCTACTTAGCAACTTAGACCCTGTTTCAAAATAAACAAATAAAAGCCTGTGTATGATATAGCTCTTGTTCACATCCTGGCACCACAAATAAAAGAGAAAACCCCACCAAAATGTTTGGGCGTGGTTTTTTTTGGGGGGGTATGTTGTGTATCTGGCAGCCTGGCACTGGGTATTTACCCGTAGGCTGTCGAAGGATGTCTCCTGGCTCCGGGGCTTTGTGAAACTGCTTCTGGGGTTCTGTTGCTTCTCCCAGAGGGCTGAGCGTCCTGGGCGTGGGGTGTGTGCAACGCAGTTGCAGGCAGCTGTCTCTAGCTGCCTGCAGGGTGACTGCCTCCGTGGTGGCGGCCGGCCCTGCCCACATTCCAGAGGGATTGGTTGGGGCGCTCTGCCGTCCCGCCTGCTCCAGCTCCTGGACCTCTGACCCCGGCCAGAGCCCACTCCCTCAGTCTTGGGCACCAGGCAGCAGCTGGCTCGGGGAGGGCGAGGCGGAGGAGGCGCTGGAATGTGTGCAGGGGTGAGGAGGGAGGGGACCCAGAGAGGAGGCGGAAGTGGGGGAGGGACGCCGGCCGGAGAAGGGACGAAAATAGAGGGGGATGGAGACAGAGACAGAAATAGAGGAAGGCTGCGAGTCTGGGGAAGACAGAGAGAAAGACACGCGGGAGGCGGAGAGACAACCAGACGGGGGCGGAGGGAGCCAGAGGCAGCTGGCCAGGCTGGAGGGCCCCAGGTGACGGGCTCCCTCCCCCACCTGCTGCTCACCTGTGCCCAGTGACACTGGAGACGGCCCGCTCTCTGCCCTCCCGGGGCTGGGCCGCCGTGGGTGGAACTGGACTCCTGGGTAGGGCCCCAACGCCCTCGGCCACGGGAGGTGGCCTCCCCAGCTCCAGCTCGGTGAACTCCCTATTCCCAGGGCCCCGCAGAGGAGGGCGGGGTCGCGCCAGGCCCCGTGGGGGCGGCTCTGCCCCGGGCACCCTCGGTCCTGGCTCCCCATGGCGGCTCCTCCTGGCTGCCCACACAAATGACCTCCTGGTCAGCGCTGGCCTTTGGCATCTCGCAACACTGCTGCCAGCTCCAGGTGCAGGCCTGGCCACCCCCAGGAGACTCCGGCCTCTGGCCCAAAGCCCTGATCCCAGTGACCTTCTGCCCTCCTGTGGTCGTGCTGTCACCCTGGAGCACTGCCTGCCTTCGAGGTCACCCCCTTGGCCGAAGCCCTGTGTCCTTCATGCCTCGGCAGGCACACCGTTCTGCTTGGCCAGCCCAGCCCCTCCCCCGTTCCTTTTTTTGTCTTGTTTTTCAGTACTAGGTATTGAACCCAGGGCCTGGGCGCGGAGTTACATCTCCAGCCCTTTTTGTTTTTCTACTTTGAGGCCAACTCTCCCGAAGTTGCTAAGTTGCCCAGGCTTCGCTCCAACTCGGGATCCTCCCGTCCCGTCCCGTCCCGCCACCCCTCCTCCGTGCTGAGATGACAGGGCTGCGCCGCCACGCGCGGCCGCATTCAACCTTCCTCCCCTTTCCCAGCCTCCATCGCTGCCAGTCCTGCCAACCGCCTCCCTGTGAACTGGAACTTCTGCCATGAAAACCACAGTCCTGCCTTCTCTGCCTCCACCTCCCACCAGTCCCCTACTCCTGCCAAGTGTCCAGCCACCTCTGGATATTCTGGCCTCTGCCCCTCACACCCTGCACCTCAAATACCCCCTTTGGGGTCTTGCCAACTTCGCCTTTTCATCCCTTTTCTCCACTAACTTGATTTCTGTTGCCCCTCAAATGCACCCCCTTTCATTTTTTTCAGGCTGTGCCCCTACCTGCAGAACCTTATCTTCCCACAACACCTGGCAAACTCCTATTTCTCTGGCAACGTCTCAGCCCCAAAGTCCCTTCCTCCAGGTGGTCTCCCTTCCCTGATCCCGGGAGCTGCAAGAGGGCTGGACAAGGGTCGTGCACACGCGAGAAGGAGGTGCGACAGGAAATGCCTGGGTGTGAACAGGAGTGCACGTGAGCGCGCCCGTGCCGGGGGTCCACGTGCGGCGCCCCCAGGTACGCCCCCTCTTCCGTCCAGGCCCCGCCGCATCCGTCAGGCGTCGGCTGCGTCTCCCGCCCCCAAGTTTGCAGACGCGCGAGGAGAGTGGAGAGGCGCCTGCGCTTGCGCATTCGCCTAGCCATGCTGAATTCCCGCCTACAGCTGGCCACCCAGCAATGCTATTGGTGCTTACAGATAAGTGAACGGTGCACCCACCAAGGAGACGTTCCCGGGGGCAGGCGTGGCCTGGGCTCTGGACGGGCAGACGGGGGCGGAGGGACGCCCTCCCTGCACTGACGTCAGGCTCCTTTCGCGGCGCGTTTCCCTGGAAACCGCGTTTCCATCTCTGCGGGTTTCCGGGGGCCGCACCCTCCCATTCAGCTTTTTCCTCAATGGGGGCGGTGGGGGGGGCGATCCGAGAAGAAATGGTGCACGGCCAATCCCACCCGCCTGAGATTCCAGCAGCCTCTTGCCTAGTCTGTGCCTCAGTGTACCTTTCCATGCCTTCGACTCAACATTGGGCCTCCACCTACTCCGCCTGTGTGCCTCCCAGGTGCGGGCAGGTGCTATGGATGCGCCGGCCACAGAGAAAGGACTGGGAGTGGGGCTTCTTCCTTCTAGGATCCCCGGGCAGGGCCCTTACCGATGCGACGCCCCCCAGCCCTTGTATTCCTCAGACCCCCCCGAAGACAATCGTGGCCTGATCCCCCCAATGCGCTTCCCGCGCGCTCCCCCAATCCGGAGGCAGGCCTTGACTCCCGGGGACTCCCAGACTGGGGTGGGGGTTGTGGACAGCAAAGGATCTGTTCCGGGCCTGCAGTGTGATTCAGCAGGCGCTTCTATCACATCCTCCATCCTCCTCCCCACCTCGCCCTGGGCTCAGGGAGGTGGTGACTGAGGTCAGGCCGAGCTCAGCCGTGACCCGGGGCGGGGACTGCGGGTTTCACCTGAACTTCTCTCCCCCACTCCCTGTGCCTTCCAACCCAAGGGGCCATTTGCGCCCACGACCTTGAGGCCTGACCAGGCATCTGCTTTGCTCCTGTGGGCGTGGGATGACTTGGGGGTGACTGGCGGTGGGAGGGCAGAAGGCTCTCAGGAAGATATCCCAGACCATCCCTGGGAAAGGAACTGCCCCTTTCCTCTCATGTTCTTTGGGACGCTGCTAAGGAGGGCCGAGGCTTGAACCATCAGAAATCAGATGATCGTGTGTATGGGGTGTGTATGGGGAGGTCACATATACACCCTAATCACAGGCAAGTGCTGTTACTGAGACTTGGTTTTCCTGTCTGTAAAGTGGGAGTATAATTACTTGTAACTCTTAGGTTGCATTGCTTGTTAAATGAGGAAATGCCCTTAAAAGGATTTAGTGGTGGGATGATTATTCTGTGTGCCCAGCCCCAAAAGGTATGAAGGTGAGACCCTCTCTAGAGCTTTTCTCCAGAGGGGCCCTTGGGGAGCCCCAGACTGGCAGGGTGTGCGTGGGGGTGGGGGTAGTTCCCAGCAGACCAGAGGGGACTTGGGGCAGGGGGAAGACAGGTGTTCCCAGGTGGGTAAAGGCTGGGGCAAAGATCTGGAGGTTTTGCCCGGTGAACACGAAGGGCTGGAATGTAGCACGAGGGTGTGGCCGCAGAGGCGCCCTGAGGTCATTGGGGCTGGGTGAGGCTGCAGGGCAAGGCCAGCCTGAGGCCCAGGGCTGGACCTCAGGAGGTCTGGGCTCCTGGGACCTACGCTGGTGGTTGTCCCTGCGATAATACTGAGACTCCAGGAAGAACTTAGGGAGTTTCTCAGGGTTGGGGCCGCCTCCTACTCTTGTGACATAAAAAGCAAGGACCAGGTCTCCCCGGATACTGACTCCTAAGTTCCCGTCCCCACAGCCCACATCAGAGCCGGGAATGGAAAGCGGGTGCGGGTGGGTCCTGCCCAGGGTGTGCAACAACAGGGCAGACCCGCACCCCACACCCCAAGGGCTTCCGGCCTCGGGTGCCAGGAAGTGGCCGCCCCACCCTCCTCCACCCCTGCAGCTTCCTGCCCACCCCCAACCAGGGAGGGGGCGTGAGAAGCGCTAGAGACCTGGCCACTGCACCCTTCTCCCTATACCTCAGGCTATAATGGTCGAGACAACTCCTCCCAAGAGGAGCAGGCCACACGCAACTTGTGTTTTATTTTGTTTATTACTGGAAATCAAGATGTGTGTAGGGCTTTTTTTTTTTTTTTTTTTCCTTCCAATTTTCATACAGCATACTCGCGCGGTGCCAGGACCCCCACAGCCCGACCCCTGAGGGTGGTGTGTAATGCTTTCTAGGGGGGACCCTGAGAGGGAGGGCAGAGAACTTCCGGCCGGTTCTGTCTGGGGCCTCCACCCTCAGACCCGCGGAGGCACGGGCGTTATTTAAAAATCGTTTAAAAAACAGAACACATTTAAATAGGTATACAAGACAGTTTTTCAAAAAACAAATGCACCCCCCTTTTTTTCTCCTTTTGGAAAAAAACCCAAAAAACAAACAAAAAAATAATAATAAAAAAAAACCAAATCCTTGACCTCTACCATCTGGGACCCCATCCCTACCCTCCCACCCCCACAAAAAATTTTACAACTACAGTTAACACATGATGTTCACTTCTGAAACCATTTAACTTTAAACACGGGACGAGGGCAGGAAGGACTTGGGGTTCACCTACAAGAACAAAGGGGAGGGGACCACAGGTGGGGCCAGGTAAGACTGACAGGTGGGGGCGGGCCCAAACTTCCCATAAAAAAAAATTAAAAGTGAATGGGGAAAAAAAAAAAAAAACACAAAAATCCTCCACCCTCATTGAAATGGCCCTAGTAGAGGGTCTCTCCCCCGGTCCCTGGGTCCCAAGACCCCCAGGGCTTGGGCACTGAGTGGGGAGGGTCCTAAATAGACCAGCAGCGGACCCCAGGGGGGCTTAATGCTACACAGCCCAGCCCCATGGGGCGTTCACAGCTCAGCACCCCCCTCCCCAGCTGGCTCCAGAGAATCCCCAGACAGTCCACACCTCATATCCCTCAGGCTGGGCTGGAAAGGAAGAAGGGGTGGGGGGCATCTCCCCAGACCCCTACCTTTTCTCTCCTGGTTTTCAAGCCATTCCCAACCAGTATTGGCTCAGTCAGAAAATTAATAAGTCTATAAATAGTCCCCAAACTCAGGCAAGAGGTCAGGGAAGTGGGATGTGGGGGTGGGGGTGGGGGTGGGGACAGGAGGTGGAGGAAAGGGGCACAGTTGCGGCCGGCGACTGGAGAGGGTGGGCCAGGGCTGGTCCCCGTTTCCATTTTTGGCAGGAAAAGGTCCCCAAGGACCTTTGCCTGAGCCCAAAGCATACCCTCCACCCCCAGCTCTGGGCCAGACTCTGCTGAACACGGATTTACATGGAAAAAAAAAAAAAGAAAAAAGAAAAAAGAGAGACCAAGGAAAGGACAGAAGTGGAAAACAGTCCCCTCCTGTGGCTTTGCTCCCGGTGATATGCGGGTCCTGCTGGCCCGGGGTGGAGGCCAGAAGCCTGCAGTAGGGGGGTGGGATGGAGTCTTGTCTCCGCAGCCCCCTCCCCTCATCTGTAAAGTGCATAATGAGGCGTCTACATTTTTGACTTAAAACCTGAATGGGTGCGGGGAGGCGGAGGGCGGGAGGGGTGAGGGCGCAGCGGAAGAGGGGCAGGGGCGGCTTCCTGGCCTCCTCCCTCCTCCAGCCTGCCATCTGGACAGCCTGCTACATATTGGAGCTGGGGAAAGTGGGAGGGAAGGACCCAGCGCCGCCGCCGCCGCCGGCAGAGACAAGAGGTGGGAGTGGGATGCAGGAGGTACCACCACGGTGAGAATTTAAAAAAGAAAAAGGCTGGTAGGTGGGTCAGGAGGGAGGTGACCGCCTGCCCTCCAGAGCTGGGCCTTGGCACTGGGCCGAGTGCGATGTCTTGGTGGTGGTGGCAACTCGGCTCGGTGCATGTCCACCTTGGGCCAAAGCTTGAGGAGGGGTGAGAGTGTGCCAGATCCTAAGCCACCACGAACTCAGACTGGAGGTCAGGGTTCACTTCTGGCTTCCAAACAGAGTCCTCGAAGTCAAGGCCCAGGCCAGAGGCCTCACTGGGGCTGCTACCTCCCCCGCTGCTACTGCTGTCGCTGCGACCAGCCTTCCGGCTGGGCGGCCAATGGTAGGGACCGCGGGCGTCCCGACGGGCCTTCCTGCGCAGGCGCTTCTGCTGCAGCAAGAGCTGAAGTCGCTCTACCTTGCAGCGTGTGGCCCGATTCTCCGTCTGACGCAGCCGATCCCCTGTAAAGGAGGCAGTGACCCGTGATTCCCCAGGGCCCCACAGGGAGAGGCCCGAGCCCTCAGAAGAAACACAAGACACCTCCCCCTGCATCTGCCCTCCCTGGTGACATTGAGGAGAGCCAAAGGCATCTTGGGAGATCACCCCTGGGTGGATATTAATACTCATTTTTCTGTTCTGCAGTACTGGGTATTGACTCTGGCCTTTGAGTTGCACTACCACCCCAACTCTTTTTAATTTTGAGATGGGGTCTTGTTAAGTTGCTCAGGTTAGGCTTCAAACTAGCAATCCTCCTGCCTTAGCCTTCTCAACTGCTGGGATGAATTACAGGCATGGGCCACCATGCTTGGTTTCTAGGAACTGCATTTTTGGGGGGTGTTTCGGGACAGGGTCTCCCTATGTCCTTCAGGCTGGCCTTGAATTTAGGGCCATCATTCTGCCTCGGCCTCCCCAGTGCCGGGATTACAGGCGGGCACGTCCAGCCTGGCTTCCTTGTATTTCCTTATGTGCTAGGACGTGAGGTAGGAAGGGTGGGCAGGGTGGGTCTACCTTATCCTTTTCCGACTCCTCCAAGGGATAGGCCCCAGGAAAGCCCCGAGGCCTGGGCCTCAGTTTCCTGCCTTTATGAGCAAGGCTATGGACGCTGCAGTGATGAATGGCTGGGGATGCCTGCTAGCCACAACAGTGACCAGTGTCCTGTCGGCCTCTGGGTGGGGAGGTAACCAGGCCACCGGGGAATGATGAGTTGCTCTCCCAAGTGCTCGAGATGCTGGAGGACCCTGCCAGCCCCACCTCTCCCGCCAGAACTGACTTGGTCATTCATGGAGGCGCCCAATGCCATCTGGAGATAGTGCCTGGGGGAGGAGAGGAGGAAGTGGGGCTGGAGCCCCCTGGGGAGCTCACAAGGACACTTTGTGGCCAAACACACACATGCCTCCTTCTCTCCCAGCCTGCGCCTCTTGGGGGGAGCTGCAGCTGCCAGTCCCCAGTGGGACAGCTGCTCTGCTGCTCACACCGCACACAGAGGGGCCTTGAAGAGCCAGGCAGATGGGTGTGGACGAGGGACCTTGGAGGATGGCCACTTACCAGGGGGCTTACACATGCGTATCTGGCTCTGGCCTTGCAGCAGGGAGGCTGAGGTTGCAGCCGCCAGCTTCTCGCAGGAGGTAGTTTTGGGGGTGAGGTCGGGGGCTGGTGAGGCAGGTGAGCACTGCGCGTGGCAGCGGAGCTGGGTCAGCGAGGGGGGCATGCCCTGGTAGTGCCTCGTGGCACTCAGGAGGTCATTGAGAATCTGGAGGATTGTGCCGATGTCGCGGCGTGGCCGCCCACTGCTGTCCTGACAGTTTGGGTGCAGCGTGCCTGTGGACAGAGGGGTGAGTTCGAGGACAGACCGTCCAGGGAGCAGATGCAGAGCAGCACAGGCACTCAGGAATCGTAAATGCTTGTGCTCCACCACCATGGTGCAAGTGGGACCCCCCCAAGACGTGACACACACGCATGCACACACATAGGTCAACACGGGCCTGAATGTGTGCAGGGTCAGAGGATGGGTAGGGTTACTCATGTGCTGCCACACCTACCAGAGAAGGTCCCTGAGAAGACCCCCGGGGCGTGGTTCACGAAGCTCTCGATGACAGCGCCGGGTTTGCGGGATCGGGGGGTAGGACTGCCCCCCGGGATAGAAGGGGTGCTGGCTCCGGGGCTGACGCTGCTGCTGGCAGGTGGGGAGCAATCCATCTGCTGAAGAGAGGGGAGCTTGTGAGGGCTACAGTCAGGGTCGGGGTCCAGAGATGATTCCCAGTCTCAGGTCTAGCCTAGGGCCTAGACATAACTGGCTGGTGTAGGATCTACATACAAACAACCCTCAGTCTGTGCTCAACCCACCAGCCCAGGTCCAGAGATAACTTGTAAGCCCAGGATCAGGGTTATTACCCATGAGCCCAAGGACCAGAAATAACCCAGAGTTAACACACCACCCACCATGCTAGCCATTTGCAAATTTCACTCGCTCAGGGTCACAGGATAACCTACAAGCCCAGGGTGAGGGCTGACCCACTGGGGCAAGGTCCGCAGATAAAAACTCTCAACCCTGATTCAGGGGACAGCACTCGATAGGAAAAATGCATCTGGGGCACAGCGCCCCACCCCTCTCAAAGTCTGTGGCCTCTGGTTTCAGGACAAACCTTACCAGATCTTACCTCAGGGCAGGTGGCGGAGGCTGCGTGGGATCGGAAGGTGCCGGCTGTGACAGAGGCGGGAGAAGGGCTGGTGGGCACTGGGGGAACGCGGGCGGCACTGGACACTGGCCGGCAGGTCGAGGACACGGGGGTGGCTATGCTGGACTCTCCGCGGGTAGCAGTGGCTGCAGCAGCTGCAGCAGCCAATACATGGCGGTGCTGTAGTGGGGCATGCTGAGCCGCAAGCTGCAGCTGGACGAACATCATGTGGTCCCCGACCCGCAAAGCCAGGGTCAACGGTGAGCGGCCGGACAAGAAGTCACTGACCTGTAGAGAGAGGGGCCTTTCAGCGAGGGGTTCCACCTGTGGTGCCCCCAGCCCGGCCCAGCCCAGCTCCCCTCCATTGTGTGACCTGGGGCCTCTCGCCGCCCCTCTCTGGGCTCTGGGGTCCCTGTCGGTGCCACGGACGCTTAAATAAAATGAATCTGTATTTCCGGAAGCCTTCTCCGCCAGCCCGGCCCGGCCCAGGCGCTGCTGGGGGCTGTGGGGGACAGAGGCGGGTCAGACGGGGGAGCCCTGGCCCTCCCTGGGCGGTCACTGTCCTCAGCTCTCACCTCATACCTTTCCCAACCCTCTTGGGTTCCCAAATCCTCTCTGCCTGTGAATATGGGAGGGGGCTCGATCTCAGGCCCCCTCCTAGCTAAGTCACCCAGACGAGTGGGCGAAATTCCTGGACAAATTCTTCTGTCCTAACCTTTGCTTTCTCAAGATAAATATTTATCTGTCCTGGGCGGGGCAGAGACCAAGGGGGCGGCAACATCACTTTGGGAAAGGGGCCCTGACCAGGTCCCAAGGGGCTGCGTCCCCACGGGTGTCAACAAGAGCTGGCGCTCACAAACCCTCAGCCCTGCCCTCCTGCATGGGGGGGGGCGGGTCCCTGGCTGTATCTGACCCTGGCTGCACTGAGCTCCCGCCTCCCCCCCCCCCGGGGGGGGGCTGGCCAGCGCCTTGTTCTCCCCAGGGGCTGGGATAGGGGGGTGGAGGTTTCTGAGAAGTGACACAGTAGATGACTCAGAGCCTACCGACCGCCTCCCAGATCTGCCTCCCAGATCTCCCTCCCCTCTGCGCTGGCAGCAGCTGGCTGGCTGGCTGGTGTAACCTTCTGTTTGGGGCCGTGGGGAGAGGGACAGCAGCAAAGAGGTGATCCATGGGCCCACCCAAGCCCCAGTTTGCACAGCACCCCCATACCCCAGAGATTCCCTTGCAGGCAGAGGCTGGGGAAGCTTCTGAGAGCAGCTGGGGTCCCCCCCTCACCCGCCCTGCAACTTCCTCCCTCGGGAAGGCCAATGGGCGGGCATGACTAGGTGCCAGGCAAGGAAGCAACCCTGGGGAGCCCAGTTTCACCGCCCAGCACACCCCCATCTCCCTCCTGATGCTGGCACCTGGGGAAGATGGAGAACCAAACACACCCAGGGGCCCCCCTGCCAACCACAGCCCCCACAGCACAGGGAGCTGTTCACACTCGCCCCAGGAAATCACCTGTCCCCCCACATCCGGATGCAGGGACCCCTGGCTCTCTCCCACACCCCAGCTCAGACCACCCCCCCATCCCCACCCCACCCCCACGCCTGGCCAGGGCAGGACGCTACATGCCAGCTGGCAAGGGGCTGGCTGGGGAGGGGGTGAGGGCCTTGGGCTGGAGGGAGAAGAATGTGTGACTGGAGAAGCAGGTTTCCTGTGGCGGCCTGGCCTGGCCTGGCCTGGCCTGGCCTGGCCTGGTCAGCAAGGCCCAGGAACCTGCCCACCCCTTCCCGGGGCGGGCAGCAGCCTGCTTCCCCCACCCTGGCAGCAGGCGGATTGCTGAGGCCTGTGTCACCCTTCTGGGAGGTGGCCAGGGCCCGCATCTGAGGAAGGCCCAGCCTTCGCCAAGAAAATGAGAAAAAGAGAAGGAAAAAAAAAGGCTTCAACAAAACCAGGAACCAGGGTTAGGGCCAGCCCCAACCTCCCTCCTGGCAGGGCTCGCTAAATATTTTCCTAACATCCTGTCTCAGCCTCCCTGGCCCTCAGGCTGGGCGCCCCCGCCCCCTCCCATTTACCCCCTCCCACTTTCAGGGCAGAGAACAAAGGCTAGAGAGAGGAGGTGGAGAGGAGTGGTGGTGTGGTGACTCCCCACCCCCTCACAATGGGGTCACTGGAGGAGGAGAGAGTGTCACCCAGGCCAGCCCCTCCTCCGGGCCAGCCCCTGGCCCCACCTTCCCACTCCAGCAGAAATTCAGAAAAGAGAAACTCTAGATGTCAGTTTAGGGAAGCCAGTTTTTTGGGGGGAGTGGGGGTGGAGGAGCTCTATGGTTGGAGTGTGCTGGGCTGGTAACCAGGCCCCCGGTGTGAGCACTCCCACGAGTGGGCCAAGGTCACCCCACAGGCAGGCAGGCTGTGAAGGCTGGATCCCCTTCCCTCTCCATGAGAGAAAGCCCTCAAGGTCAGGGGGGAGGTGGAGAAAGAGGAAACCCAGTGACCAGTCAAGCTGGCACCAAGGAGGAGTGCACGTCCCCTCCCCTCCTCAAGCACCCCATACCCTCCCGCTTATCTGGAGTAGCCTGCGTCACTCCCCC